CTCCAGCTACGTCCCCTGCAGCTTCTGCTCGCGCCCCCTGAAACATCCCCCTGGGATGAAAGGGCTGTCATCAAAACGCATGCCCGGAGTCAGTTGTGCGAGGCGGCGTACCCTCTATGTTTCAGGAGTGATTTCCTTCCCTGATGCACAACATGCAACCCCCCGAAACCCCTCTCCCCTCCGGAGAGCAGATTTGCTCCAGTAGGTCCGACTGCAGACAGCTCGTGGAAGTTGAACACACGAAGAGGGTACTGCACCGCGCACGCTCTAGCGCAAAATAACTGAGGCATGGACAAGAAAGAGGTCCTTACTATTCATTGCTGGCAGGAAGGCGACATCAAAAATCTTGCCAACCAGCACGTTCAGAAGTGAGATCTGTAGGAGGAGAGAAGTGATTGCATCAATGTGGTTTACTCACTGCACCACGGGCCAGATGCTGCTGGCGGTGATATGGAGGGATTGCTGCTTCTCTGAAGACCACTACATCTGGAGCCCGCTCCTTCCCCAGAGCCCAGGTACTCAAGCTCAGCTCTCAGGAGCCGAGTGCAGCCTCTGCTTTTGCACCCAGGATGAATGCCATGCCGTGCATTGATTCCCAGCCCAAGCTTTATGAGGTCTATCTGCAAAACAAACCTTCTCTGGAGGCCAAACAAATCAAACAAATGTAGCTGCCTGTTCAACTAAGTGTGGACCCTGAGACGTCTCCTAAATTCTTCTTCTGTCCCCAGCCTAACAGCGTGAGGCATCTTCCCATCACCGGGAAAGCTGCCAGATATATGTACCAGGATGCTTTAGGCATAACGTGTGGAGTTCAGAGCCTCGTTCTGCTATAGCGAAAGGTGCAAGAATGGAAAACCAAGGCAAAGAAGTCCAGACGACCAAGCAATCCCTGCTAACAGAGAGCGTTTTCCACTGTGCAATGAATACTAGTGACCAAAAAGCTTCTGGGAATTTCAGTGGGGGAGGATACATCTACCCTGCAAAATCAAGTGCAGGATAGAGACCCCAGGTGCCGGAGACAGTCCAGCTGCGGCATCATGAAGCTCAGTATGGGCTGCTTTGCTTTCCATGCATTTCTCTGTAATAAAAAGACTTCACTATCCCAGTCTATCCCCACCTCAATCACAGGGACCGTTCTCACTTTTCTCTCAGCCATTTTTAAACACATGGATTTGCAATGTCTCACGGGAAGATTGCCCGCAGAGCATCCCATGCAAATACATCCATCTCCAGGGGCAAGAAAAATGTGGTGTTAAAAAACTGTGCCCAGCCCTTATGTCGCCAGCTCCACTATGCAGCAGCACTCCACTTCCTGAAGGAGATATGCACCCATCCTGTATCCTTACATCAAAATTGCCAAGGGTGGAGGAAGCCAAGGAGAGACGAGTCCTGCAGGAAAAGGAAAGAAGATTTGCAGAGATCTCTGCAGCTGGCAGATAAAAGGACACCCAGGACACCACCGCCCGCCCCATCCCTGCCCACTGCTGCGGATCAGGAGAAGGAACGATGAGAAGAGACTTCCTACTTGTCGAGGCTGACGCTGATCTTCAGTTTGTTGTCTTCCACGGAGAACTGGGCCAGCAGAGAAGCGTCCTGCAATTGGAGAGCAAAAGCCGGTCAAGCCGAAGAAGTCAGCTCTTCCCCGAGCTCCCTCGTGACAGGTGAACGCAGTCTCTCAGCTGAAGTCTGAAGCAGAGACTTTCTGCACATCCTCCCCTGAGGATGCCACGGGGAGATGAAGCAGGGGGAAGCATCTGTTCCTAAAATAATCGTTTGCCGACAGCAACGGTGCGACTGCAGAGGAGGTTTCCGCAGCGGGGCTTTAGCCGCTTCCCGGTACGTACAATATTGAGCCGGCAGAGGGTCTTGTAGGCATCGCTGGGTTGGGCAACCATCAGTTCGGCAGTCGCGACAAGGTGTATCAAGCCTTTATCTTTGGCCAAAGTCACCGTGGGAACGTCAGGGACCACGACCTTCAGCAGCAGTGCCCGGGAGTCGGGGTACTTCTGAAAAACCTTCAGACAGTGGGAGACACAGTTCAAGTCTCAGCTTTGTACACCCCACCCAGGATCAATTCGGAAGAGCCGGCAATGGCAAACAGATCACAGCTCAAACCGCCTTCATACATAGGTGCAATGCTGCGATGGGTTGGGAGTCGGCTCCGCTTTCCAGCATGAGGCACCTTTCTTCCCCATCACCGGTAGCTTTCCTGACGATGGGGACGATGCCTCGTGCTACTTCTACAGCAGCATAAGCCCATTGATTTAAACAGAGCACAACTGCCGTAGCATTGAGGCAAAATGGACCCAGGGAATATGCTGCCTCGAGCTGGTGGCTCAGTGTTGTGCATCTCATCCTGACCTGAGGACTGGGACACGGTACCAGAAGAGCCCAAAGGGCTGCATCATAAATCAGGATCAGGCCCTGCTGCGTTTTGGCACATTGGGCCCAATGCCAAGCTCATTTCACTCAGTGGGATCCTGTTCATTAACTGCAACGGGCTTGTCTTCAACAAGAGTGGAAGAAAAAGGGAGGGGATTTGTGCCTCTGGATACTTTTATGGCTCTTATCCCTGGAGCATTTGCAGCATAAAATAAAGACAGAACTCACTAACCGCAGGAATCAACGCTCCAAGAGTCGATGTCGTTAATGGAGGGAGCTCAGGAAACTGTTACAAATGAAAAGGAAAAAATTCAATGAAATGTGTGCAATGGCTCCCGCTGTCCTACCCAAGCAGCGTGCATCTCTTCCTTCGCATCTAAAGCGCTAAGCATGTCTTGCAGCATCTTTCACTCCTCTTCCTAAGCAAGCAGCACACTTTGTAATTAGTCATGAGCTGCTAAAATGCTCCAACTGATGCACTTGCAGCTGTACGTTTTCCGAACAGCCGCACAAAGCAGGGAGCATCTCCCCCTGGGCTGGATTTCCACTCACCATCCCATCCGAGATGTCGATATCTAGAGCCCCTTGTTTCTGCAGGACAGCTATCACAGAGCTAAGGAAGTTTACGGAGAGGCCAAGCTGGGAGGAGGTCTTATCTTCCATCGGCGGCAGTGCTGGCATCGGTACCCCAGGTGCCATCGGTACCCCGGATGCCATCGGGACCCCAGGTGCCATCGGTACCCCGGGTGCCATCGGTACCCTAGGCGGCATAGGGACAGCTTCTGGCTTGCCCAGGGGGTAGCCAAGGAGGCCTCCTCCGACGCTCCCAACCACAGTCTGAAACCACAAGAGAAAGGTAAAACCTCCAGGAACATCTCCACGGCATTTTGCCCTTTTAATGCTAATTTTAAGTCCACTTGATTAGGAAGTGCCAGTAAATACGACCAGAGGGACATAAGCAGGTAACAAACCCAGGCCAGAACCTGGCGGGCAGCTCTCTTCCCAGTTTTGTAGAGAGTAAACAGAGAGTGTTACTGGGGGGCAGACCCCGAGCCAGGTCCAGCTCTGGGGTCGGGTTTTCCAAAGCAGCAGGATCACCACACAAAGGGCACTAAAGGCCAAATTTCACGGATGTCAGAGGGAGCTTTTCACATCATGATCAGCTGCTCCCATCGGCGCCCTGCTCAGGTCTGCTGACCTCCAGAGACCCCCCGAGAAAACACTGCTTGAACGGGACCAGGACCCTTCACCGCGGCCGCGTGCAACCACACAGCCCTTGCGTGCAAGTGAAAAGGGCAGGACTTACATTTAAATCTACTTCAAGGAACTTGCCAGTTACTAGTGGAAGGCTCGATACGGTGTACTGGACACTTCCCAGTACACCCAGTGGCACCAGGGCTAGATTGAAAGAGAAGCAACAGCAGTGATCCTCATTCAGGCTTGGAGAAAAGTCCTATGCACTCGCACTTTTTTCTCCTACTAAGGTCACAGAATCGGGGAAGAACCGAAAGAAGGTCCCTTCTAATCCAACCCTTGCTCAAGGCAAGACCATCCGTGTCTAAACCATCCCAGACAAATGTTTCTTATAACCTGGATGTGAAAAACTTCCAGTGATGGTGACTCCGAGCCTCTCCAGGCAACCTGCCCCAGTGCTTCACCACCCTTGCCCTCAGCAAATTTGTCCTGATACCCAACCTACATCTTCCTTCTCAACCTAACCCCTTCACTATGTCTCCTATGCCTGTGGGCATGGAAACCTGGTTTATAACTACTCTTTCTGCATTGGAGATCTTCTATCCAATGCCCCCCTCCATCTCCCGAGAGGACACTCGGGGAGCGGGAACAGCTTGAGATTAGTCACGAAAACTTACAGTTCACAAGACCCAGCTGATCGTTGACGAGTCCCAGGGCAACATCGACAACGGGACAGAGCTGCAAGAGGTAAAGTTCGGATCAGAGGAGTTCAAACTCTGGGTCGGGCATGAGAAGGGGGGAGCAATGCATTAAAATGCCATTTTCTCCAAGGGAACCCGACACTTCAGCAGGTTGCCTGGTCCCGATCCTCACTGAGTATGACCTGGCCTAACCCTATCGCACTCCCATGATTTGCCACTACCAGCATGTGTCTTCAGAAGGGGCTGGACTGAGATCCCAGCCCGAGGGCACGTGAGATCTGCAGCTGGAACAAAATGTTATGACCTGAACTGCTCTCTCTTTATAACCCATTGCGCTCTCCTTGGTGAAGGCTAGTGGTAGTTGCACGGAGAAAGAACGGGCGCATTTAGGACGGAGTTGCTTTTGTCCGTGCTTAAAGATCTTCAAACGGGCAGTTTAGTTTTGGGACAGACTGAAATATTTCCTTGTTTAAAATCTTCCAATAGCGTCTTCTAATAGTGCGTGGCTTGGGTTACACGAAGCCCTACCAGGATCTCTTCTCTGACTTACCAGGCCAGGAAGGAGTCCATTCAGGACCCGTGCCAACAAGTTATCCACAATGGGGAGCAAGCTGAGAAAAAGTAAAACAGGAAAAGTCATTGAGAAACAAAACCCCTTGTCGGACAGCTCCATCGGGGCGCTCGTACATGTTATGCATCATTTAGATGCACGACTCCAGATAAGTGCCAGATAAGTGTTCAAGGACTGCAACTGTGCTATAAGGAGGATGCCAACCAACAGTGAAAGAAAGTCCTCAGATATGTCCACTAGCCATAAGCATGCACGGTTCCCAAAACTGCCATGATTATACATGAAAATCCCGACACACACATGCAAAAAGCAGTTTTAGTGCACACGGTGTGAAACTCTGGGCCTAAAGAGCAGGAAGGTTCATAATGCGATTAGCACGATGGTCCGTTTAACATGCTCTTACCCTCGGAGAAGTCTGACTTTAATATTACTGAGGAGGGCATCGCAGTTTTCTACCCGCAGTTTGGGGTAGCCTGTGCCATCCATCGTCAGCCGGACCCTTGCCGTGATGTTCACCTCCACAGCGATGTCAAGGAAGCCTAGGAGACTGCACAAGGGGGAAGGGGCAACGTCAGGATCCACAACGTCCTCCTGTGTCTCCTCACAGTAATGCAAGCATTCACACACCCCCATTTTAATTGTGGGAGACAACCCCCAAAGTGGGCCCTGCGACGGTTGGAGACAGCCCCGATCTGGCAGCTTTCCTGGTGGCCTGCCCCGAGTCGGGCACTTTCCAAAGGATGCCCCGCTTACCTCTTTCCATTGAGGGCTACTCTGGTGTACAAGTTCAGATGGACGCCGATGCCAGGGAGCAGCCTCAGGGACACCTTGGGGAGGGTGAGCTCCACAATTCGTAACCTGCAAGACACAGACATCCATAGGGAGGGGGCCGAAAGCTCGGGAGCCACGAGTCTCAGCACGGAGACCCTGGCACGGAAGTGCCACGTGTGCAGGACGGGCACAAAACACCGGGCAAACGAGGGGCCTGAGATGCTTTAGGCCTGAATCACGCACAAAGGCTGCAGAGCCTGCGATGAAAAATGCATCGTTTTGGACGGCAGCCGGGCGTCCTCCACAAACACGGGATTACACCAGAGCCCGCTCCAGTGCTCAGCAACTTGAAATCGGTCCCAAAACACTCCCGTGAAAGGGACTCCAGACCCATGTAGACAGGACTGGGAGCAACCAGATTCTCCCCACTGGTTCCCAGTGTCCAGTGCTAACACAGGGTCTTTCAGCCCCGATATGACTATAGCCAATGGCTTCCTATTTTCAAACTGCAATAATACGTGTGCTTCATCCTGGCCTCAGTTTTATTGCTTGTTCCCATGTATTTCTGGTCAGTGATACAGCAGGCAAGGAAAAAACCATGCACAGGGACCTCACACACAGGTGGATAATTCAATGGAAACATTGATTTTTGCCTGCTTCAGCTGGTAGAGCCAATGCAGTGCTCCGAAGCGGCGCTGTTTGCCCTGATCTATACAGGACAGGATCACCAGTTTTCCTGCTTCCAGAACCAGGAGTCCGGGGGACTTCTAGCCTGCTTTCTGATGCTAGGGAGCTTGCAACTTTAAAGCAAACCTGTGAGCCAGACAAAGCTCCCCTCTGGGTTATGCCTGGGGCTGTGCAGTGATCCCGGAGCAACCTCTGTGCAGAGACTATTAAGAGCTTTCCTTACCCTGTAAGCCCCTGGACCGTGCTGAGCAAACCTCCTTCTCCAAGGATCCCGAGCACGCCTCCACTACCGAGCAGGCCTCCATTCCCCAGTAGACCTCCGTTGCCGCCAAAGATACCTGCAGTGCCAAGCAGACCTCTTTGTCCTAGCAGTCCTCTGGCAACGCCATCGGGGACGCTTCCTCCAGGAACACTGCCACCCGGTAGGTCTTGACCAGCGTGGTTCACCGGGCTTCCACCATAAGCATCACCACCACTGCCAGGCAGACCCCCACCGCCACTGCTACCAAGCAAGCCAGTCACCCCAGCAAGTAACCTACTGCCACCAGCACCGTCACCAAGCAAGCTGCCAGTCACCCCATCAGCCAGGCCACCACCACCACCACGACTGCCGCCACCGCCACCACCACCACCAAAATCAAGCAAGCTGCTGGTCACCCCACCAACTAACCCACCACCACCACCAAGTAAACCAGCAGGGACACCTCCAAGTAGGCCTCTGCCACCACCGCCCCCAAGGATGCTGCTGAGCAGGCCTCCTCCTCCTCCTCCATCTGCGCTTGGACCGCCGTTGCCCAGGGGTACTTCTCGGAGCGCACCTTGGAGGGCGCTGCCTTGCGCCAGCGAGTCTTCCACAGCTGAAAAGATTGCACATGGTAAGCACACGACCGAGGAGAGCCTGCTTCTCTTCTGTGCTTTGGCCACTTTATCTCAGTAATGGGGACAGCCACCTCGGGTCCCTGGAGTCCCAGCCCTGCACGAGACCCTGGAGCTCTGGTCCTGTGCAGCAAGCACGAGCCAGTAAGGGGCTCGCTTCACCCATCACCGACAGCGCGGTATGGCTTCTACCCGCTGCAACCATTGTTATTTCCACCCAGTCCTGCTCTCTCCAGAGAATGACAGCAAAGGCTGCCTGGACTTATCACACGCTATCTAGATACTCTATATACGAGGCAAGCCTTTTTAAGTAGAATACATATATTGCACACGGCCAAGAACTTGCACCGGACCAGGTCTTCAACACGTCTGTTGACCATTGTTCCTATTTTCCAGTCTAGGAGGGCATGCAGTTCAACTTACCATTGCTTAGTACCCCTTTATTGACCCTGAGGACGGCATCGGTTGGAAAACGGCCTAGAGCTGGTGTCAGCAAACCACACAAGAAGGCGATGCCCCCCAACATGAGCATGGCGGTGCCTGCTGCCTGCCGGGAACATCACCAGTTAGCAACATGGCACGTCACAAGAGAGAGAAGAGGCACCGAGCAGACGCCAAGGCATCCAAAGAAAATTCAGGACAGAGAAATGGAGAAGCAGCCTCAGGACCAACTCCGGTCCCACCGACCACAGGGGAAGTTCTCTCTCAGTTACAACGGGGCAATTGCTTTTCACTGAAATTCAAATTCACTGGAAAACAGAGTTTTGGAGACGCTAGAGCTATGCACAATTTTTTACTGAGATTTTCTTGGCATACAAAAACAGAGAGAATTGCACACATGTCAAATTGTCTCATTCTGACATTTGCAAACATAAAGCCTTCTCAGCGCTGCCTATTTTGTTTCCAAGTCAAACCATCTTGACTTTTGTTCAGAAGAGCCATTCTTTTGACCTACTTTCTTGTTAAAGAGAAAAAAACACCAAATGGTTTGGGGAGGTAAAGCTAGCTGAAAAACCAGACCACACATTTCATAGGCGGTTATTCCAAAGCATTCGGAGTTGACCCAAAACACATTTTTCATTTCGTTGAAATATTTAAAAAAAACCTTCCCGTTTCGGTTCAAACCAAATTGCTTCATTATTTGTTTGCTTTGTTCACTGCGTAGCCATCAAAACAGCCCTCGCTCACCCAGCTCTGTTGCTAATCATAATTGTCTGGTATCTTTTTAAAGTCGAAACATGACAGCAAGATTTTGGAAAAAGAGGTTTAAATATCAATGGGAAGCACTTCGCAAACACCAATGATATCACAGGTCTCAGCAGTAAAAGTCAACCTTTTGGTAGCTGGGCTCCCCCAAAACTAAACGTGCTTGGTTACACCGCCTGTCCTGTTGTTACCTGGACTTCTGCTGCGGTTGAAGGGATGCTGGTCTTCTTGCTGGATGCGGGTCTTGGGCAGCTAGAGGTTTGTAGCTGCCTCTGACCCCCGGCTCCTCTCTGCTATGTCCGCTCTGCTTGATCCTATAGGAAAGGCAGGTCTTTTATAGTGAAAGCCAGGTGCTGGGAGAGGAAAGGAGCCTAAAGTATAAAAGCTGGGATAATGGGTTGAGTAAAAAAAATAAGTTTGTGGTTTTGACATATTCCAATATAAATAATTTTTTGTACATCTGGGAGAGCTGTTAAGCAATAGGTAGGTATCACATACACTGCGGGTTCATTGCTTGGTGGCAGCCAGTGCTGTTACCCAACATCCCAGCGCGCTAATGCAAAGCTCCCCAGGCCCGGCGGGGCCAGCCAGCTGCGACGGGCTGCTCCCTGCTCAGGCGCCGGCAGACGTGTGCCCACGTGGCCGGCACGTTGCAAGGGTTAAGCCCCAGGCTGAGCCCAGCAGCCACTAGGAGATGCCAGCGTGGCTCACGAAGCCCTGGACCAGGTCAGCTCCGACCTTCCCGAATACAGGGCCCCACTTTCCCGTTTAGAGTTCAGTGACGCAGCCTTGCGCCGTTTCTGTGCTTAACTAACGACCGGCCCATGTCATAGTTTCATAGTTTCTAGGGTCGGAAGGGACCTGAGTAGATCATCTAGTCCGACCCCCTGCCATGGCAGGAAAGAGTACTGGGTCGAGCTCTGGGAGACGGGCCCAGAGCTCAAGTCTTTTTATCCCTTCCCTGCACCGGAGCACCGTGCCCATAGCCATGCTCCCTGCTGTCTGCAAACCCCTCCGACTGGCTCGGGAAGGGTGGAGGGTGTCCCCCAGACTACCCTGCTGCCGGCGGGTCAGGGCACTTGCCCCAGAGGTGGGAGATGCGGGTCTGGATGCCTTCCAGGAGCCAAGGTCTCCCACTGCCTAATGCCAGTGCCCTCGTCATTAGACTGCAATATGGAAGGCGAGGGGCCGCGACACCAAGACCTTGCCCATGTTGCTTAATGCTGCCCTTTGTGGCAATCTCCAGGCTGTTTGGGGGGTGGTAGGTGTGCTCAGACCATGCAAAGTCCCCTGTGGGCAGAGCCACGTCCTCACTGCGCTGCAGTGGAGCAGAGGCAGGAATCGGGCGTCAGGCCGCTCGGCCCAGGGCATTCCCGCCGGCATCGGGGACTCGGCAGTCCGCTGTGTACGGGCTGTGTGCACCGTTTGGTTTGCATGAGCAGCGATTGCTTCTCTAGAGTCACAAGCACTTCAGGCTGTTCCCCTCCCATCCCAGAGCCCAGATGCTGTTATGTTCTTGCAGCTTTACAATTTGAAATCGCTGTTCGAAATCCACGGAGCACACCCAGGGCCCCGCATCTGCACGTCCAGATTAGCAATGCAGTTATATGCTCAGTTGTGCAAAACTGAATCCCTGGGATTCCCAGGTGACAAAAAAAGCAGGACCAGGACTAGCGGGGTTAGACTCGTGAGCGCCCAGACCCAGCATGAGAGCATGCCATTGCCTTCCTTTGAGCATCCGCGAGCATCTCCAGGTACTTTCTGACGGGTTGCCATCTACTTGGCTTCTCATCTGCTCAGGAAACCTTCCAACTATGCCAAGGGCTTCTCCCAAGGACTCTCAATCGTCAGAAAAACAAATTAAACAACACGGTCCTTAAACTTTCAACCTGAAAAGCATTTCCTGAAGATTATCCTGTCCGTTTCCACAGCCTCCACCGCCGCACTGATAGGCTTGACACCCTCAGCAGCCACAGAGAAGTCCCGACCAAGTAATGAATGGAGACGTGGTGTCAGCTGAAAACTTAAGTTGCCTTCGGACACAATGGCGCTTTTGTCCTCATTTCCCGAACAGTCAATACCTCGTGAGATACTATCTGTTGCTAGATCCTAGCCAAGGCTCTCAAATGCATCTTATACAATACGGGAAAATACCTTTCCAAAGATGGTAATAACAGCTTATCTGTATCAGGCTTCTTGGAGCGCCTTATATAACACCCTCCTCCTGGTCTCACATCAGGTGCAGCCCTGAGAAAGGCCGTCAAGTGTTCGATTGAAAAAGCGAATGCATTAAAATGGGCCATCTTCCCAGTTTGAACCTGAGCCATTGAGGGTTGGAAGGGACCTCAGGAGGTCACATCTAGTCCAACCCCCAGTCCTCACCCCTGCAAGTTGGCAGAAGGTCTGCGGACCTGCAAAGCCACAGACATCTGACTTGGGGAATCAGCAGCCAGGTTCCCATACAGCCCCACTGTGCAAGGTGCATGGTGCGTGCGACCTGTGCTCAGCCATCACCGCCGCGCGTGCAGACGGGCTGGAACGGGGTGTGGAAACTGCAGGGAACGCCGAGCAAGTAGAGGGGAAATAATTTACAAGACAAGGGTTGAAATCTGAACCCAGGCTCAGGCTTTCCATCCAGAACCACTAGCACTGCTCTCCCGGGTCGCTTTTCCATCACTATTGGT